AACTGAAAGACTTGCTAGACTATTTTGGAGGCCAGTTGTGAGTTAACCATATTGTTTTGGGTCTGATGTCACATGTAGGCCAGACCAGGACAGCATGGCAGATCTCCTTCCCTGAAGGACAATAGTGAGCAGCACCCCCTCCAAACAATCAACAGTTTCACAGTCATCATTAGAGCCGTATTTCCAAATTTTTATTGAATTCAAATTCCATCATCTGCCAATGGGAGGGTTTGACCCAGGTCCCCAGAACTTTACCCGGATTATATGGATGAATAATCTAGTGATAACACCACTAGGACATGGCCTCCTCCTTCATTTCAGTGAAGAACATTCCACTTCCAACTCATAATGAGATTTCAGGCTAATCTAATGAAGCAATTAGTTTTACTTGTGACAGTCTGATTCATTGTTTCATACAAATACTTTATACCCTCTTGGGGTATTAATTCTTCCTATTTGCAACCATTTCGGGATGTGGGTATCACCAAGGCTGGTACTCGAATTCTGTGTCTTGTTGCTCTGAGAAGGTGATGGTGAGCTTTCCTCTTGACCATCTGAATTATGTTGAAGGCTTTCCCATCATGCTATTCAATGCGCAGCTTTAGGATTATAAGCAGCCACAATGAAGCAGTAAATATGTGTGTCCAATCTCGGATGCCGTGAAATGGAGGGTGATGCTGTTCTCATCAAGCAGCTGATAAAGGTTGTGGGTTTGCGGCATACTACTGAAGATGCCTCAATGTGCCACCAATGGACTCCATATACACTTCCTGCTGCCTCAGGAAGGCAGCCAACATCATCAAAGACCCCTCCCACCCCGGTTATAATCTCTTCCAACTTCTTACATCAAGCAGAAGATACAAAAGCTTAAACACATGTACCAACAGGTTCAAGAACAGCTCCTTCCCCGCAGTTATTAGATTGCTAAATGGACCTCTCAAATTTCAAATCTAATGTTGACCTTGCCTTTGTACACTCCCTGTGCAGCCATAACTTTGTATTCCTCACTCTGTTCAATCAATCTGTATGTCCTTGTGAGGTATTATCTGCTTTTACTGCTCGCAAAACAAAACTTTTCACTTCACTTAGGGTACATGTGACAACAATAAGACAAGTCAAATCAAATCAGTGATAGTAGGAACTGCAGATGCTGGAGAATCCGAGACAACAAGGTGCAGGGCT